CTTGTTTTATATCTCTGCATTTGTGCTTGGGTAAATGCACTTGTTTTGAGTGTTTAATTAATGTGTAATTCATTTTCTAACTGCCCTTGTATTTCTCTTTGGTCAACGGTTGGTCACATAGTTCAAAATAGTCATTACTCATCCCTTAAGATCCTTTTCCAATCTGGTCACCATCATATAGGACAGGGACTGATGTGCATAGAACCATAAAAAAATTGGTATTTGGTTATTAGAGGTAAAAGTATTGTACTTCTAGGTCTTGTTTAGCAGTTTTGAATCCTTCCTCATCATTTCCACTGGTGTTTTTATCATTCTATCAGTAGTTTGACTTATTTTTCAGTGTTGATGATGATGTTGATGTTGATTTTGATTTGGTGCATCAAGTATAAAAGATGAGTTCCAATGATTCCATCATCTGTTTATATCTACCCTTCTATTTCAGGGTCACCAGTGATAATGATTTTGAAGACAATATCACAAACGATGATTTCTCTCCTATGGTGGATATGTCAGAGTCATCTGAATGTTCGTCTGTAAGTAGTTTTGAGGAGCAAGCTGAGTTGACAGAGCTGATTAAATATCCTAATAGTTTAATTGGACCCCAAAACAAATATTTCTCTGCCCTAAAGTTTTCCAGTAGTACCAGTATTGATGATTCATTGCAAAAACCACTTTGGAGTGAAAGGTCATGCCACATTGAAAGTGATTCCTGTGAAATTCATGAAAGAACAGATGGTCGTGGTCATTTTATCGATTCACAAAATAATGGAGCAATCTTGAGTCACATATCTTTACCCCTTGAGTCAGAGGAGCGAAACTGGTCATGCAACAATCTCCACTGTGAAGATAGTGTACCTGACAGGAGTTGGCCACTTGGTAGCCTTCTTATAAACCCATTTTATGTTAGAAGGAATGAAATTGATACAAGGTTATATTCGCCTGACTCTAGCGTGAAGTTGAACAATGGAATTGCAAATGGTTGTAAGGATGTCTTATCATATCTTTGCAAATCGATTGCTAGTGGTAATGCTTCAAAAGTGGCAAGATCAGTTGAAGATCAAGCTGAAAATGATCCCACTTCAGATCTATTTAGATTGCAACATTGGAAGCTTAAATACAATAGTGATATTCTAAGTAAGAACCCAGTGCTGGCAAAAAGTAGTTTGCATGAGCCTGTTGACTTGTGCAGCATTTTC